TCTAATTCTCTTGCTGATATGTTTGCAGAACAGAAGTTTTAAATTTTAATGAAGTCCAATTTATCAGATTTTGCTTTTTTTTTTTTAATGGATCACGTCTTTGGTGTTGTATCTAAAAAGGCACCACTATACCCAAGGTCATCTAGGTTTTCTCCTAGGTTATCTTCTAGGACTGTTAGAGTTTTGCATTTAAGTCTGTGATCTATTTTGAGTTAATTTTTTATGAAGGGTGTAGGTCTGTGACTAGATTCATTTCTTTTGTGTGTGGATGTCTGGTTGTTCCAGCACTATTTGTTGAAAAGGCTATCTTTGCTCAATAGTACTGCCTTTGCTAGTTTGTCAAAGATTACTTGACTATATTTATGGAGTTCTATTTAAAGGTTCTCTATATTCTGTTCCCTTCATCTATGTCTACTCTTTCACCAATACCACACTGTCTTGATTACTGTAGCATTATAGTAATTTTTTTTCAAGGTTGGTGAATGGTTTTACTTTTGAAGTGAATTTATTTTTTTTTCTTTTTCACTGTGTTCAAACACACGTAACATAAAATTCACATAAGCCCCAGCCCTGGTGCCACCGTTCCACTTTCTATCTATGAATTGGACAATCTAAGACCCTCAGGTAACTGGATTCATGAGTGTTTGTCTTTCTGTGACTGGCTTGTTTCACTGAGTGTAATGTCCTAAAGGTTCATCCATGTTGTAGCATATTGTAAAATTTCTGTCCTTTTTCAGTCTGAATAGTACTTCATTGTATGTATATACAACATTTTCCTTATCTATTCATCCATCAGTGGACACTTGGGTTACTTCCATGTTTTATTTATTGTGAATAATACTGCTGTGAACATGAGTGCACAAATGTCTCTTTCAGACCTTGCTTTCAGTTCTTTTGGGCCTACACCCAGAAGTGGGATTGCTAGGTCATATGGTAATTCTTTAAAAAACTTTTTTAGAAACTGCTGTACTGTTTTGCATTGAATATCTTCTTCCATCCTTTCACTTCCAGCTTCTTTGTATCTTTGTATCTAAAGTGAGTCTCTTGCAGACAGCATGTGCTTGGATCGCGCCTTTGTCCATTCTGCCAGTCTCTGTCTTTGGTAGGAGTCTGAATAATATTTACCTATTTACCTATTTACATTTAAAGTCATTGCTGATAAGGAGCAACTTCTTTCATTGTGCAGTTTGTTTTCCTTATGCCTTATAGCTTTTTTTTTTTTCCCCTTCATTTCCTACATTACTGTCTTTTCTGGTTGATATTTCATAGTAAAATATTTAAATTCCTTTCTCATTCCCTTTTGTGTATATTCGGAACTCTGCTCCTTTATAGTTCTACCCCCATCCTCTTAGGTGTTGATGTCACAGAATTACATCTTCATACACTGTGTTCCCAAGACATAAACTAATAATTATTTTAAATGCATTAACCTCTTAAATTATGTAGAAAACAAGATTAGAAGTTACAAACCAAGTTACAGTAATTCTGGCTTTTAGACTAATAATTTCTTTAAGTTTATTAATCTCTTAAATCGTGTAGAAAAAGTGCAGTTCAAACTATTCTTACAATAATACTAGCTTTTATAATTGCCATGCATTAATAACCTTTACTGAGATCTTTATTTCTCCACACAGCTTCACGTTACTGTCTACTGGCCTTTCATTTCACCTACCAGACTGCCTTGAGCACTTGCAGGGCAGGTCTAGTGGTCACCAGCTTCCTCAGCTTTTGTTTACTTGAGAATGTCTTGATTTCTCCCTCACATTCAAAGGGCAGTTTTGCTGGATTGAAGATATTTGGTTGCAGTTTTTTTCTTTTAGCACTTGGAGTTGATTGGTTCACTGCCTTCTGGCTTCCACAGAAATGCCATCTCTTTCTGATGAGCAATCTGGTGGTTATCTCACTGAGGATCCCTTGTATATGATGATTCTCTTTTCTCTTGCAGTTTTCAAGATTCTCTTTGTCTTTGAAAGTTTGATTATAATGTTTCTTGGTGTGGGTCTGTTTGAGTTCATATTACGGGCATGGTTTCCTGGTACATGTAAAAGTTATGTTTACACTATACTTCAGTCTATTAAGTGTGCAGTAGCATTATGTCTAAAAAAAAGTACAACCTTAATTAAAAAATACAAAACAAAAACAATAAGTTTTGTCTTTGTAGTAACAATTTTACTACAATAGTCAAATCAAAGAACAATGATCACAGATCATCATGACAAATATAACAATAGTAAAAAGTTTGAAATATTACAAGAATTACCAAAATGTGACAAAGAGATGCAAATAGAGCAAATGCTCTTGGCAAAAATGGCCCTGATAGACTTGCTTGATGCAGGGTTGCCACACACTTCCAATCTGTGAAAGAACATAGCATCTGCAAAGTGCAACAAAAGAACGTATCTCTGTGCTTGGATTTTGTTGGGGTCCTTGGGAGTTTATATTCATGTCTTTCATCAAATCTGGGAAGTTTTCAGCGATTATTCAGATATTCTCTCTGTTCCTTCTTCTCTGTCTTGTCCTTCTGGGCCTCCCACAGTGCATATGTTGGTCCACGTGACAGTGTCCTATGGGTCCATTTGTCTCTGTTCACTTTTTTCCCATCTTTTTCCTTCTGTTCCTCAGGTTGGATCACTTCCATTGTCCTATCTTCAGGTTTGCTCATTCTTTGCTATGCCTGCTCAAATCTGCCTTTGACTCCCTCTAGTGAAATTTTCATTGCCCTTGAATTTCTTTTTCATTTCTTTTTGGGTTTTCTCTCTCTTTATCGATATCTCCATTGTGTTCATACATTGTTTTCTTGACTTTCTCCACATCTTTCTTTAGTTCTTTGAGCATCTTTTTAGACAGTTGCTTTAAAGTCTTTGTTTAGTAGAACTACCGTCAGGTCTTTTTTGAGGACAGTCTCTGTTGATTAAGCTTTTTCCATTAAGTTGGCCATACTCTCCTGTTTTTGTTTTTGGTTGTTTTTTTTTTTGAACCCTGGACATTTCTAATAATGTGGTAACTCTGGAGATTGTCCCCCAGTGGTGGGACAGCTGGAGACTCTATAATAATAGTAATGGCATTGGAGTGAAACTCCTCAAGTACTGGAGCTCATTCAGCACACACAAACACACACAAACACATGCACACGCATGCACGCACACACGCACGCACACACACATGCCTAATTGGTCTCCTTCTGAGGATGGCAGGGTACTAGTTCATTGCCTTGAAATGTGGGTAGATAACAACAGGAGTCAGTGCTTTCTTACAGGAACTTTCCCACCAGGTGAGCCAACTGGATCCAAAGAGCAGAGGCCTCTCCTTTTACATTTTATTCCAGGTAAAAGGTGAAAAAGAAGGATAGACTGCTGCCTTCTGCACCCTCTGGTGCAGTAACGGGTACCTCTAGTGGGCATTAAGCATGAAGGGCTGTTGGCATCAGAGAAGAGCAGGCCATTGTACCTCTGGACGGAAGCAGGGCAGCATTGCTGAGGGTCAGTGGAGTCTGAGCTGGGCTCTGTGTGCAGGAGCCAGCGTCGTAGGACCCGCAGAGGGAAGGGGAGCAGGCTGGCCTGGACCCTGAGTGTTCAGTCAGCAACACGCAGAACCAGCCTTTCAGCAGACAGATTGGAAGGAGGGGTGGGGAGGGCCTGGGGTGAAAAGTGACTTTACAGACATTCCCAGAGTGGGCTCTGCAGTGGTGCTAAGGATGTACATCTGCACAGGGACATACAACTGACAGTCCTGCTGCTTTACAAGCAGGGAAGGGGCTGCAATGGGGTCGGGGCACATGCGGCGTCTCCTAAGGGGTCTCACAGTTGTGCACAAGATACTTCTCTTGTAGTAATTTGTAAGGTGTACATATGCTTGTGTGGCTTTCTACAACTATTTTATTTTACAGTTAAATTTTTGAAAAACCTCAAAAGTCACTTGAATTCATTATGTGGTTAAACTGCTAATTTGTTACTTTGTTTTATCTGATTCCTTTTTTAAACTTTTTTAAAGTTTGATGTGATTTGGCTTTTTAATTACGTGAGTCATGAATGATCTCAGAGTGAACAGTGTAACGTAGGATGCACTCCCAAAGGGGCTGCTTCTGGTCCGTCCCTCCCCTCTCCCCTTCCTTCCTGTGAGTAGTGTCCCTCCCTGCACACGCGCATACAGACACACACACTCACGCTTTCCCCACCTTGTTCTCCAGTAGCTGGTGTTACTTTGTTCCCAGTGTTGTGCACCTGACTTTTTTCATTAGATGGTATATATCCTAGCGAGATTTCTCAGTAGAAATGGAGGCCTTTCTCATCTCTTTTTCCTTTCTGTTTCTTTTTCCTTCCTTCCTTTCTTTGCTTTTTTTTTTTCACTGCTGCATGTGCTCCCTTGTATTCAGCTGATTCCCTGATTTTGTGTTCCCACTCCTTTGGTTATGATTAGTAATGTTGCACAGTTGCCCTTATGTATGTGTTTTGTGCTTTGCTGTTGTGAAAGAGGATACGTTATAAGAAATGGTGTGACAGCATGGGCAAAGAGTAAATGGACTTTTGTAATTTAATATTTTTTATGTTTAAAATTGGATGGGGTTGTGAGTATGACAGTAGCTCTTTTCAGGCTTTAACATTTTAGCTGTGCTTTTATTATTGAGCATATGTTTTATAGTGGTACATATATTTTATTAGCAAAGTTATATCACACACTCTTGGGTATTTTTGTATATTTACTTATTGTATTATTATCAAAACATAAGCTAAAGGTAGAAATGATCAATGTAGTCTTTCTAAAATAAAGTAAACCTTTATTACTAGTAAACCTTAATAGTCTAGAACACCAACTAGGAGACAAGTGAATAAACAATGACTTCTGTCTTTTCAGCAGACTCATTTTGTGAGTCAAATAAATAGTACTTTTAAGGATTTTTGTTAATGGGAATCTATAGATATATCATTTCTGTATCCCACTGTGCTGTGAATTGTGGCTTTAAAGTACCTGTAACTTAGGAGTTTTTCTTCTCTTATTCCAAGGTTCATGTTTTATTCGAACTGATCAACTCGATGGTGAAACTGACTGGAAGCTGAAAGTGGCGGTAAGCTGCACGCAGAGGCTGCCGGCTCTGGGGGTGAGTGTTGCTGTCATTATTCCATCATTTACTGTAGTGGCCATTTCTGTGCAGTAGATACAGTTCTGTTTATACCAACTTAATTAATGTGTTGATAATGTTTTAAAATAATTTCTTCGTTACTAAGTTCATTGAAAATTATGCCCACGTAATTTCTCTGGTGTCTTAGCACATAACCTTTTTGAGGTATGGTTTTAAATGTTCCTTTTGGCTTGACTCTTAGGTTTTCTTTCTTTTCTTTCTCTTTTCTTTTTGTTTCTATTTTTAAAACCCCCCTCATGTGAGTAATCTTTGAAATCGAGAACTCTTGGTGGGGTTAGCTACATCCATTTTTGGTAACTGACTGACTCCCAGGAGGCTGTTCAGATACTGCTTTGGTAGAACTCGCGTGGGCTTAGCCCAGCCTTGGACACCAGCCTGTCCACTTCAGCTTTTCCCTTTGAAGGTGGAGGGGAAGTGAATTGTTCCTTCCTAGGGAGGGGGAATTGAAGTGTTCCTGTGTGTCTCGGCAGAGTGAGAAGGGGAAAGACACCTTTGGACTTCTTGCTTGGCCTTTGCTGCCTGGGGAACAGGCAAGAGGTGGGACCAGAGGGCACAGTACTTACGGATCTCAGTGTTTTTAGTGATCTCTGAAACAGATCTCACGAGTGCTCAGAACCTCCTAAACTGCTATACATCTTTTTTTTTTTTTTTTTTTTCAATCAAAATCACGGTTGTGGTCATTTGGTGTTTGTTTTGTGTTATACGTATGATTTATCTGAATGAGAGAAGCTTTATCTTACATGATTTGCTGATATTCACTGGAGAGTAAAGAAAGATTGAGGGTCTTCAGAATGACCTTGGACCCAAGCAGTTGTTGGTTAAGGGAAAGGAAATTGAATCCTCTGGATTTGGTCACTTTCCTTAGATGGGTTGGATTTGATAGGAATAGCTACTGCACATAGCTTACAGTTAATTACTGTGGATAGCAGGAACCTTCCTTATTGTAAATATTGCACTTTTTGGAAACTAAATCTGTTTGGCATGTATAAGGCTTGGCAGTATTTTGTTTCTTTAGGTATCTTCCATTGCCTGTACTTAGGTAGTACCGAGGTTGAAATTCATTCCTTGCTTAGAGTTTGTTGGTTTCTTGGAGCTGTGGGTTCCTGGTTTTCTTCTCTTTTCCGTCCTCCTTTCTGCGCAGACCCCTGTCTCTGGGACACGAGCGACAAGTGTGTTAGACTTGCTGTTCCTGCAGGTGTCGAGCTTCTGCTGCTCTCTTCTCAGTCTTGTTTTCTTTCTGTGACTCAATTTTGACAGTTTCGGTTGCTCTGTCTTTTTTTTTTTTTTAGTTGCACAGCTTTTGGGATTTTAGTTCCCTGACCAGGGATTGAACCCGGGCCCTCAGCAGTGAGAGCACGGAGTCCTAACCACTGGAGCATCAGGGAATTCTCATTTTGCTCTGTCTTTAGATTCACTAAGTTTATCTTGTGCAGTGTCTAGTCTTCTGTTAAGACCACCCAGCTGATTTTTTTATTCCAAATCTTGTATTTTTAATCTCTGGAACCAGGTTCCCCCTGGTCACCCATTTTTGTTATTGTTTGAATACTTTTCTTTCCTAATATGTTCATAGTTTCATTTAAATCTTTCAGCAGTTTACAACACTTATTGTTCGTCTGTTAATGCCATTGTCTCTGTTATTTTGGGCATGTTTCTTCTTAAAAAAATGTTTTCCTTGTTACAGGTCACACTTTCCTGCTTCCTTGCACAGCTGGTAATTTTTAGTTGGATGCTGGATATTGTAAATACTATATTTTTTTCTTCCTTCAAAATCTATTGATCTTGATTTTCTTAGTTCAGTAACTTGTGGATAAAATTGATCTTTCCAAGAGTTGTTCTTAAACTTTGTTGGGGTGGCCATGGCTCACGGGCCTAGCCGCTCTGCGGCATGTGGGATCTTCCCAGACCGGGGCTTGAGCCCGTGTCCCCTGCATCGGCAGGCGGACTCTCAACCACTGCGCCACCAGGGAAGCCCCTGTTATATGTTTTTAAAGAGGTCTTTATATATAGTTTGCTAATCATCTTTCATTCATTTGTTTTAATCTCTTCTAAATATTTTCATTTATAGTTTCTGTTGTCCGTATAAAAGTTTAGCATCCTTATATAAGGTGACCTAACAGTAATTTTACAATAGTCTTTAAAATAGTTACTTATGTAATGTGATAGAAGTGCTAATTATTACTATGGTGATGATCATATTGCAATACGTAAATGTATCAAACTGACTTGTACACCTTAAATTTACACAATGCTATATATGTCAAGTATATTTCAATAAAAATATTTTTTAAATAATAAATAGTTACTGCTTTTGGTTTTATGCTTAGACCATTTCCACTCCATGACTATGTTTTAAATGGTTACTTTAAAATCACTCCTCCTTTACATGTGAACTCTCCAGTCCAGCTAGCATTTGTTTGGAGTCGAGCTCTGAGTAGGAAATCAGACGTAAAACAACCTGCTGGCTGGTCGTAGCAGTACCGTTTGCTGCATAGCTCACTGTTTTAGCACAATTATAAAATTGCCCTGGGAGGTTCCAGTTTTAAACTCTCGCCCTCAGTGTATGAGTGTGCAGGGTTCTCCAAACCTTTGCCGAGTGAGTACGTGTCGCAAACCTATTCCCCCAGCCTGTTTCCTGACTTTTCGCTTTCAAATACCTTTTGCCGTATAACTTTGTTTAGGTAAATATTAAAATTAACTTTTGTTTAGGTAAATATTTATACGTTTTCCTTTTTGTTTGTGGATTTTGTGTTGTGCCAGAAGGCTGTTCTCCCACAGTGTTCATTTATCATCTTAACCGCTGTCAGTGTCCCTTGTTACTGGAGCCTGCAGCCGGGCCGCAGTTTTCTCTGCCCAGGCTCCTCCTCTCTGCTCTCTCCAGCCTCACTCGGACTCCCAGCGTTTTCTGCGTGCTCTTCCTTCTTTCGCGTGGTGAGATAAAGCCGTGCCGTCGCCTTGTCCCTGAAGACACCCAGCTTGCAGTTCTCACGCTACTTGTTAGAATGGTTAGTTTTCATCCTGAGACAGTCGTGGAGCCTGTTGACTTTCTAACGTGCTTTGAGCCCATTGCTGGGCTCCCGCTGCTCTTGCGCGCTTGCCTTTTTCCTCCTCTGTGTGCTTTCTCGTTTTTCTAGTGCGCGTCCTCAAGTGGTCTCTCCAGGATTGAAGGGGGAGGAAAGGTCACGAACCCCAAGTGACCGGAGGGTTTCTGTTTGCCATCAGGCTTGGAGGCCGCACCTCGGAGTCTGTCCCTCTGCACCTCACTTCCAGCAGTCACAGGTGCTCCAGGGCACACTGGGAAGCAGTTGCACAGAAAAATCCTTTGTAGCAGATTTAATTCGCTGAGAGTGTTAGAAAAGAAGTGCATTGTTAAGATACTGTATTAGAATTTTTCTGAAAGAAAAGCCAAACAACGAGTATGTGGTATGTGATGGCATTACCTGGATTCCAGGAGAGTGGGTCAGCTGTGACAGAGGCTAGTGTCGGGCTGGGGCGTGCAGAGGACTGCTAGAAATGTCCACCCCTTGGTCGTGGTGGTGTCGTCGGTGCGTGCTTGTATTCAAATGCAGAAAATTGTACACTTTAAGCATGCATAATTTATTGCTTGTAAACGATATCTTAAGAAAGTATTTAAAATTCCACTATGATGTTATCTATGTTTTTGAATATTCCCTTTGCTGTGATCACAGGAGGTGCATTTTATTATATTCAGTGTTATAAGGATGGTTTCCTCATTTTTATTAGCGACAGATATGTATAAATTGCAAAATACTTAGAAAGTCAGAGTATGTAATTCATACAGTGCTACTTTTAAAATTTTATGGTTGATACACTTTGATAAAGAGTGTGTTAAGCATTTGGGTGAAGTAACTGGAAAATGAAAACGTTTTAAGTTTTGATATTATCATAAAACCAAAAGGCAATATATTTTAGAAGAAAGGAAATTTAGCTGAATTTGTGATTCATCCATCAATTTATTTATAAAATTTATTTATTTATTTTTGGCTGCCTTGGGTCTTCGTTGCTGCGCGTGGGCTTTCTGTAGTTGCGGCACGCGGGGGCTACTCTTTGTCGTGGTGCGCGGTCTTCTCATTGCGGTGGCTTCTCTTGTTGCAGAGCACAGGCTCTAGGCGTGCAGGCTTCAGTAGTTGTGGCACACGGGCTCAGTAATTGTGGCTTGAGGGCTCTAGAGCGCAGACTCAGTAGTTGTGGCACACGGGCTTAGTTGCTCTGCGGCATGTGGGATCTTCCTGGACCAGGGCTTGAACCCGTGTCCCCTGCATTGGCAGGCGGATTCTTAACCACCGTGCCACCAGGGAAGCCCCATCCATCAGTTTAAATTTGTAGCTTCATATAATTTGACATATTAGGTATAGACGTTTTTTCATAGGAAAGAAAGCTCTAATTTCATTATGGACATAGACAAGGCAATTTGGTTTTTCATCAAATAGCTTACGCTGTCCATAACTGTCACTCATTTTGACTTTTCTGTCTCTAGTGTGATGGACCTGGGGAGTGCTTGGTGGCATTCGCTGTTTGTCGCATCATCAGTGGAGCCTTGTGTCCACAGTGACACCAAGAATGATTAAACCTACAATCCTTAGAGCTCTTTGTAAAGAGCTGAGGACGCCACCAAGAATCAGCTCTCGAATTCTGTTGTGTCCAGAGCACCTAATGTGATCAGAGGGTTGAAATTTAGTTGGAGCGGTGCTGCCGATCCAAACCTGTGACGGCAGGTCCGGCTTCTTGCTGTCGCGGACACGGAGACGTGTGGGAATGTGTTTCTGCTCTTGTGATCAGGCAAATTTATTAACGACAATGAGGGCACAGTAATTTTCAATAAATCACGACTCGCTGATGTATTTCAAAAGATCCATATAGGAGTAAACAATACCATTTATATTTAATTAGTTTTATTGAACGAAAGGCAATTTTATTGGTAATGAACCACATGTTATGAT